CAACATTTTGGCCGCAGCCTTGGACATTCAAACAGGGCTCAGACTCAGACGCGCTAACCCAAGAATGGGTACAAAATGAGTTCCTCGCTTCATTTCCAGCGCACAATTCCACCAAAATCTCCGGATACCAATCCGTTGACTAATGGTTTCTGGAGTATTTTGGAAAGCAAGGTTGGCACTAAAAATACCAAAATGTTGATCACCTCAAGCAAGCGCCGGGAATGAGCCAAAAAACCGCAGAGCAATATTTGGGCAGCGTGTGACATTGGCCGTTTGAAGGCCATAATTCGTGCCAAAGGTGACCAATTCGAACAAATCTAATTATTCTCAAATTTGATGCTATTGCCGAAATTTTTCGCTTTCATTCAATATTTTTTTTTTTTTTAAGTAAAAATTTGCCGTTTGACTTTGTTGCGCAGTTTTTTTTTTTATCTCGAGGTTCCCGTTTTCGTATGGCCCCCATATACGGACTCACCTACTTTATGTTTTTTTTTGAAAAGTTTAGCAGCATTATCCAAATGATCTTACTGGATATTTTATTTAAGTGAAAACGTTTGAATTCAGACATTTTTATATAAAATGTTTTCCCAGGGTAGAGGGTATTGAAATTCGGCCGGCCGAAGTTAATGTTTTTTTAACTGTTTGGTTTATAGGGGTATCTATTAAAATTCTGAGATGTAGGGGGTATCAATTATTTTTGTTTTCAATTTATCGATAAAATAACTCCCTCGAACCCGAATGGGATATCCTACAATAATGAGAATTTCTTTATCAAATCGAAGTCATTTCTGTTTCTGAATTGTAAATCTTTTTTATTTTGGCCCCTCAATTAAATGAATAAAGAATAAAATAAATCCGGCAAAAAATTCTCTTCAAAGTGCATTCAATGTTTCTTTATTGGTTATAGGTTTATGTATATATATCATTTTATTGTATATATGTGTTATTATACTATATATATTACATAACTATTTGTTCTGTTTTTTGTTCGCTCTCTGTTTTGTGGTATACAAAATTTACTAAAATTCTAAAAAAAGGAAACTTATATATCTTTTAACAAATTTTTATGGAATTTGCCATCATCATCAAGTTATGATGATGAGAACGACCTAACCTCAAATGTAATATTGTGGAGATTAATATATTATTTTTTATTATTTTACTTACATTAGTTGGGTTAGTTTAAAATGTCTTTTATGTCATTTTGTGTTTTTTTTTTTTAATAAATATTATTATGGCATTATATTTAATTTAAATAATTAAAAGAAATTATATTTAAAAAACCGACGTAGCGTGTGTGTGTTCGGTCACTTGTTTAAAGAAAAGTATATAAAATAATAAGCGTCATGTTTGGTGGATAATAAAATAGGGATACCTTTCATATTTAAAAAATAAAAATAAAATAAAATTTTCTGATTTTTAGATATTTTATTCGACCTTTATTTTAAATTATTCCAACGTCAGTTTAAAATTGAGCTCGGAGTCTTTGTTGCTTTTTTTATAATATTTATTATTTTATTTTCGATATTTTGTCCTCCGACGGAAGACATAATCAGAACAATATGGAACATATACAAAAATTGTCAACATTTCGCAAAGTACCGACACGTCGACCTTGTGTTTCTGTCAAGGTGAGTGACAAAACAGATGACAGCAACACAAGGTCGACGTCGGTACTTGGCGAAATGTTGAAAATTTTTGTTATTGTTAAATATTGTTCCTGATGATGTCCTTCCGTCGGAGTACGAAATATCGAAAAAAATAATATAAAAAAACAAAAAAGACCTCGAGCTCATTTTATTAAACTTCATTGGGAATAAAAAATAAAAATATATGTGTAAATTAAAACTTGTGGCTAGTGGTTGCCCATTAACAAAAAAAAGAAGAAAAAATCAATTGGACATTCCCGAATATTCTCACAGGAATTTTTGCGCTGCGCATTTTTTAAGGGAATAAAACCTTTATCAGAAGCTAATGAATATATAGCCAACGGAATACAGTCATAATTTATTTTCGACAAAATCGCATCAACAGATGCCAGATGCTATGTCTTTTCTGGGGTGTGTTCTAAAAGTCTAAAATTTTGAAAATATCAAATATTTTAGAATATTTTATGTTGAAACTGTTTAATTATCCAATGAAGGTGCATAATACCGAAAAGTGCAATTCTTCGACCGACTCAATAGGTATTTGACTATGCCACATGGAAATAAACAATTCCATCAATCGTCTACATATTCATTAGTCTATGTTTTCAGTCCCTGCAAATTTTTTTTTCATGATAATCTTGAAAATAATTGAAAAATTAACAAACAAAAAAAAAATAATCCCCAATTTTGTTTTGAGCTCTAAATGTTCACCTTGTGGATATAATTCATTTTCAATATCTTTCCTCTTAATAATAAGAAGCCGAACTTTTAATACCCTCTCCCATTGGATAAAGAAAACAATTTTATATAAAAGTATCTGGATTCAAACGTGTTCCACTATAATATATATAGGAAACGTCGGCCACCGGATCTAGAAACCCATTACAAATACCAATTTGTAGCCAAATCCGTGGAAAAATGTGACAAAATTATCAAAACACCGAATATTGGGAGGTACTTATAGGGGTCTATACCAAAACGCAGTCCTATACATACATTTTTTCGCCACCGGAGCAAGAACCCATATGACCTACAAATACCAATTTTAGACAAATCCGTGGAAAAATGTGGCAAAAATCATCAAACATACCGAATGTCGGGAGGTACAGTTATATGGAGGCTATACAAAATTGTGGACCTATACATACAATGTTTCGTCACCAGAGCTAAAACCCATTATAACCTACAAATATCAATTTTTAGACAAATCCTTGGAAAAATGTGGCAAAAATCATCAAACAACCGAATATTGGGAGGTACCGATATATGGGGGCTATACCAAAACGTGAACCCATATATACTAGTTCTGCCACGGAGCTAGAACCCATTATGAACTACAAATATCAATTTTAGACAAATCCGTGAAAAATGCGGCAAAAATCATACAAAATACCGAATGTTGGGAGGTATCGTTATATGGGGGCTATACAAAATCGTGGACCTTTATATACAATGTTTCGCCACCGGAGCTAGAACCCATTATGGCCTACAATATCAATTTTCCGTGGAAAAAGTGGCTAAAAATCATCAAAATACCGAATATTGGGAGGTTCCGTTATATGGCGGCTATATCAAAACGTGGACCGATATATCTCATTTTCAATACCAACCATCCTAAACACAATACAAATTGTTCTGCCAAATTTGAAGGTCTACGTCAAATAATGGTGGGCTGTATCGTGATTTCAACAGACAGACGGACAGACATCATTAAATCGACTTAGAATTTTATGCGGATTATGATATAAAAACGGCATCAAATTATTCTTTTATAAAAAACGTATTTGACTTTTGTTCTTTGATTTTTTTTTCCTGAAAAAATTGTCTTCCCAAAACTTTATTTTGTTTGAGGGAAATAGAGAGCAAAAGAAGAAGAGTTTTGTTCAATTTATTTTTCGAAATGGTCTAGTTTGTTGTCCTACCAGCAGAAAGTCTATTATAGAAGATTTCCAGAAGACATTTTTGTATTGAAGGCCTGACCCCAAAGATCCTATACCACCCCATGACCAATGATTCTATTGAGAGAGTAGAAAAGGGGGAAAAATAAATTTTCTTCCTCAATCAGTTTCCAAAAAACCCATTTTCTTTCATAAAACATTCCAAAATGATTTTTTTCTATAAAAAATTAAATTGCTTTAAATTTGGTTTTGTGGTTTTTTTTGATCTTTTATATTTTGTTTTCTTAAAAAAAATTGTGTTCACAGAACTTATATATTTTTTTTGGAGGAAATATAGAGAAAAAGAAGAGAGTTGTTTTTGTTGTTGGGGGGAGAAACAAAAAAAGTATATATAGAATATAAAGACAGTATAAAAAAATAATATAATAATTGTAAATCCGTTTTGTCTTTGCTACACTTCTTTTCATATTTTGAAAGCCATTGACATTCAGTAAATGTTCTCTTACATAAAAATCAAAAAATATATATTTATAATTGTGGGTTCATCAGTGTGTGTGTTTGTTTGTTATTATATATAATTTATGATTAAAATATATAATCGTTGTGTGATTTAATATGGCTTTGTTTTAAATACTTAATGGGTTAAATGATGAATAAGAGTGGGATGTCTTTTTAGTTTTGCATGTCTTCTTAGCTTAACAAAATATATTAATTATTTTTGTGTTGTTATTTAAAAAATAAAAGAAAATTTTTTTTTTTTGGAAAATTATGGCAAATAAATACAGCCCCTGGGCTAATGTGTAAAAGGTGTGAATGTGAAAATGTTTTGGTTTTTTGTTTGTTTTCTTGTAGACTTTTCTAATGCAAGTTTAAGAAATCATTCTTTTGAATTTTGTCTAGAAAAAAGAATATAAAGTAAAAAAATATAGATAGGGAAAAATGAAAAAATAATGTTCTTTAGAAAATTTATGAATTTGTTTTGTTTTTGAGATGATACTACTTTAGCATTTAAGAGGCATGTGGTTTTATTTGCCATTTGTTTGTTTAGATTTTTTCTTTTTATGTATTTTTTGTTCTAAAAAAATTGTTGTTGTTTGATATTAATAATATTCTTTAAATTACATTTAAAAGACAGTCATTTATATATCTGGTGTGGATGGTGGTTAAAATTTTGAGTCTAAATTAAGGGAATAGGGGGGGAGTGTTTCATATTAATTGGTTGGTTTGTTTGTTGTGCATGTGCATGTGTGTGTCCCTTCTTTTTGCTATAATTACATATTCTCTTAAAAACATATCTATACTTAATAATCTTGTTCTTTTTATGTTTTTTCTTTTCAGGGGGGGTTTTGTTTTTAAAAAAAATTCTTATAATAAAAAACGAAAAAATACATAAACAAACAAAAAAATCTTAAATTTACATTTTTTTTTTCAATTTAATCAAACTTAAAAAACAAATTCACTTTTGATGAAGAAGCTGGCGTTGACGCTGTGGCACCGCCATTTGCTGCTGCTGCTGTTTGTTGTTCCTGTTTTTGTTTTTCATTGTAATTGTTAACAATTTCGACAAATTGTTCGTCATCAATGTTGGCGGCTTCTATTGTGGAGACGGAACGGAATCTACAAAAAGGAAAGAAAATGTAATTTTTAAAATTAGTTGATTAGATAAAATGTTAGCCTAAAAGTAGACTTTGATTTTTGTAATTTATCACAAATCATAAAAGGATTGCCAAATGAAATGTAGTGGGCAAAGTGTTAATGAATGGCAATGCCTCTGTATTAAACACAACATTTTTTTTTTCATATTTAGGAGTTGAATGCCGGATTTAATAGTATTTTAAATTGGAAAGGAACAAACATATATATGGGAATTACATTTTTAAATCTGAAGGAAATTTAGGGAATTTGGCAGTTATATTAGGAAATTTATACCAAGTCATATTGAATATTACTGATATTCCTAGTGGGCTCTAGAAGCAATTCTACTCTAAAAAGAACCCTGATATGTTTTATATACCCTCCACCATAGTATGGACGGGGGTATATTAAGTTTGTCATTCCTTTTGAAATACCTCGAAATATACATTTTAGACCCCAGCATAAAATGTTATGTCGATTTGCGATATCCGCCCGTCTGTGGAAATCACTCTAGCTTCTGAACGCAATGAAGTAGGTTGATAAAAATTTACTCAAATGTATATTATGTCTGCAGGACTTTCTGTATTGAAAATACGCCATGTAGGTCCACGTTTTGGTATAGCCCCCATTTAATGGTACCTCCCGATATTCAGTATTTTGATGATTTTAGCGACATTATTCACCGGAATTGTTTCAAATTTGGTATTTAAAGTTCGTAATGAATACTACAGCCTCTGACAGAAAATTGTCTGTTCAGGTCCACGTCTTCGTATAGCCCTCATATAACGGTACCGCCAGATATTTGGTACTTTGATGATTTTAGTGACACTATTCACCGGAATTGTTTCAAATTTGGTATTTGAAGTTCGTAATGGATGCTACAGCCTGTGACAGAAAATTGTCTATGCAGGTCCAGGTCTTCGTATGGCCCTCACATAATGGTACCTCGCTGTTTTCGGTATTTTAATGATTTTAGCGACAATATTCACCGGAAATGTTTCAAATTTGGTATTTGAAGTTCGTAATGGATGCTAAAGCCTGTGACAGAAAATTGTCTGTGCAGTTCCACGTCTTTGTATAGCCCTCATATCGGTGTAATAACGGCTACATTCGGTATTTTTAAGATTTTAACAGATTTTTCAATGGATTTTTATACCCTCAGCCATATGGCTACAGAGGGTATATATCATTTGATACGGCCAAAACGTGCCTAGTCGAAATAACGGTTTTAGACCCTAGGTCTCTTTGGACCAAATCCGTTTCAGAACATTTCGAGTCGATCTAGCGATGTCCGTCCGTCCGTCCGTCCGTCCGTCCGTCTGTCTGTCTGTCTGGCTGGCTGGCTGGTGCGCACGATAACTCTCGAAGGGAGTATCCAATTTGGTCCAAACTTGGTACATCGTAATATTTTTGTCAAACTTAGATCGAGTTCGGAGATGGGCAATATCGGCCCACTCCTTCTGGTACCTCCCCCACAAAAGTTCGAAATTTTCAAAAAATTTAATTTTTGCACAGAAAGAGAAAGGATAATCCGATTCTGCTCCAACTTTGCAAATCCTAATATTTGCGTCAGTGCTAGGGCAGGTGTGAAAATAGACAATATCGGTCCACTCCATCAAGTACCTCCCCCACAAATGGTCAAATTTTTGAATAATTACAACTCTTATAAAATGTGATGTAAGAGTCCGATTGTCTTCAAATTTCACACATCCCAATATTTATATTAACCCAAGGTCTGGTGTTGAGATGAACAATACCGGTCCACTCCTTCTGGTACCTCCCCCACAAAAGGAAATTTTCAAAAAAAAAAAAATATTTTTTGCACAGAAAGATAAAGGATAATCCGATTCTGCTCCAACTTTGCAAATCCTTATATTTGCGTCAGTGCTAGGTCAGGTGTGAAAATGGACAATATCGGTCCACTCCATCAAGTACCTCCTCCACAAATGGTCAAAATTTTGAATAATTACAATCTCATTAAATGTGATGTAAAAGTCCGATTGTCTTCAAATTTCACACATCCTAATATTTGTATTAACCCATGGTCTGGTGTGAAGGGGGAATACATCGATCCACTCCTTCTGGTAGCTCCCCCACAAAATACTGCAGTTTTGAGTATCCATGAAGCTCATACAACGCCAAATTAACATCCGATTCCATTTAGACTTGGCACATCTGTCGAAATATTTATATCATATTTTTGGGTCCGATAGGAAATGGGCGATATTGGCCCATTCCTTCGGGATCTGCTCCATAGAGGGTCAAACGTTTGAATAATCTTAACACTAGTCAAAATATACTTAGATAATCGAACATAGGCTGAGGGTATATATCTGGCGGCAATACCGACTGATACTTTTTAACTTGTTTTTTTGGAAAATAGTCAAATTCGTTCCAAATGGTAGAGGGTATTCAAAGTTCTGCCCGGCCAAACTTACAGTTTTTTTTACTTGCTATTTTTATAAGGTCTTCTGTTCAAATATTCTATTTTTTAAAGACACCCTCTGAAGGTCATTTATGTATATAAAACCTGTTAAAGATCTTCAATATATCGTAGATTTTCAAAAGGTCTTTTATGCTACGAAGTCCTGTAGTTACAAACTAAACCTCAATTTTTGGAATACAACATGAACTTCTTCCCAATTCACTTACTTCTCTGCCTTGTATTTCTCCTGTATGGCTTGTTGGGGCAATGCAGCAGCAGCAACATGTGTTTTGCATAGACACAGGAAAACTTCCCTCAAATCCTCCAGACGATATGTGGTGATTTCCTCCAATTCAGCTGACCATATTGGCAACTTACAGAGATAACGGGCCAAGGCCAAAGCAGCAGCTGATATCAATGAGGGATGGAAACGCAGGTAGGGATCAGCTTCCAGCAAAGACAATTCCGCAATGTACTAGAAAACAAATGGAAGAAAATTCCAATTAAAATTTAAATGCGAGTATATTTCAAGCACACTTACCAAAGTAAGGAATTTCACTTTGTCCGGTATATCGGTGAGCACAGCATAGGTATTAATGAACACATAGGCCGTTGGTGTGCACAAATCAAAGGCTAAAATTTTCAAAATGATTTGTTCCATGCGCAAAACCTGGGCCTTGCTATAGGTGTCATCAGTGATGAAAACAAATTCCGAGACATCTGGGGGATAGATTTCTTCATATTTCCTGAAAGAATTGAAAATAAGCAATTTAAATTTTAAATACAAGAGATCATAGTGGATTTATCAAAAATTTACAAAATAACAATGCCTTACAAATTCCCCTGACTTGTGAAAAAATTTGGAAAGAAACTTTTAACAAATTGCTGTGTAGTCGTTCGTTGTTCATTGTTGTTGAAAAGGGAAGTTTAAAGGGAAAGAATGTTATCACTATTCGAGGAAGAACCCACACACACACACTCCATGTTACATCAAGTAACCAGAAACGCATCATTGCCAGCTACCAAACTATCAGCAGAATCGCATCATCATCAACATCATTGCAATCCCGCTTCCCCACTTATCCACCCAGCCATCCATTGTTGCAAACAAAAAGCAAATCAGTGATGCACACCACCAAGTATCAATAGCATGGAATCTGTTGTAAAATCAAACTAGGAATCTTCTTAGTGGAGTATTGTTGTTGTTGTTTTTTTTTGTTCTATTTTTTGTTGCCAGTCAGTCAAGCAAAGTAGACGACCGAACCGTATTGCTCGTAAAAAAATCGAAACGCGCTTTCCACTCTTTAATAAGGATTAAATTGGATTGAAAATCATTTTCGTGTTTTATTTAAAGTGAAATCAACTTGAAATTGAAATGATTGTGTTACACAGACAGCCATGAAAAAGAAGATAGATGCGATTTGATGTGGCTTGTAACAAAATAGGAGATTTGAGGGCAATGTGAAACAAGAAAAAGTTGCTTTGGTTAGAGAGGAATCTTCGGAGATTTATTAAAAAGGGAAGATTTTCAAAAAATTTTGCAATAGTTCTTCAAAAGGCCAGCTATGCATAAAAGACCTCAGAAGACTTTCTATTTTTAGATCTCTTAGAAGCGGAACTATTTTTTTTTTTAAACAGGAATACTTTATCCAAGCTTTTGCATTTTTTGAAAATTGTCTAATTCGTTATCCTCTTTTAAATTAGTTTTCTTAACTGGACCCTGAGCTTCTACAAAATATTCAAATTTCTTAATTAGACCATCAGCCATATGGCTAGATACGTGCCTCATAGAAATAATGGTTTTAGACCCTAGGTCTCTTAGGAACAATACCGTTTCAGGACATTTGGAGTCGATCTAGCGATATACGTCCGCCCCTCTGTCTTTCTGGCTGGCTGGGGCGCACGATAACTCTCGAAGGGATCATCCGATTGGATCCAAACTTGGTACATCGTAATATCATTGTCAAACTTAGATCGAGTTTGGAGATGGGCAGTATGGGTCCACTCTTTCTGGTACCTGCCCCACAAATTGTCAACATTTTCAAAGAAAATAATTTACTGCACAGAAAGAGAAAGGATAATCCGATTTTGCTGCAACTTTGCGAATGTTAATATTTGCAACAGTGTTAGGTCAGGTGCGAAAATGGACAATATCGGTCCACTCCATCAAGTACCTCCCCCCACAAAGAGTCAAAATTTTGAATACTTATAACTCTTATAAAATTTGATGTAAGTGTCCGATTGTCTTCAAATTGCACACATCACAATTTTTTTATTAACCCAAGTTCTGGAGTGAAAATGGGATATATCGGTCTACTCTTTCTGGTACCTCCCCCACAAAGGGTCAAAATTTTAAATATTCATGAAGCTCATAAAACACGAAATTAATATCCGATTTCATTCAAACTTCGTACATCTTAATATTTCGATTAGCACTAGATTTGATTTAAAGTTGATAGAGATCGGACCGTTCATTCTGGTACCTCACCCACAAAGGGTGAAAGTTTTGAATAGCTAAAACGTTCATAAAATCCGAAAAAAGCAACCGGTCATCTTCAAATTACACACACCACAATATCTTTATTAATCCAATGTCTGATGAGAAGATGAAATATATTGGTCCACTCCTTCTGGTACCTCCCCCACAAACGGTCAAAGTTTTGAATAACCAAAACTATCATAAAATCCGAAACAAGCAACCGGTTCTCTTCAAATTGCACACATCATAATAGTTTAATTAATCCAAAGTCTGGTGTGAAAATGGGATATATCGGTCAACTCCTTCAGGTACCTCCCACACAAAGGGTCAACATTTTGAATATTCATGAAGCTCATAAAACACGAAATTAATATCCGATTTCATTCAGACTTCGTACATCTCAATATTTCCATCAGCACTAGATTTGATTTAAAGTTGAAAGAGATCGGACCGTTCCTTCTGGTACCTGCCCCACAAAGGGTGAAAGTTTTGAATAACTAAAACGTTAATAAAATCCGAAATAAGCATCTGGTTCTTCTCAAATTTTACATATCTCAATATTTTTATTAACTCAAGGTCTGGTGTGGGCCATATCGCTTAACTCCTTCTAGTAGCTCCCCCACAAATAGTCAAAATTTTGAGAATCTATGAAGATCATAAAACGCGAAATTAACATCCGATTTCATTCAGATTTGGCATATCTCAATATTTCCATCAACGCAAGATCTGTTATAAAGATGGTAGAGATCGGACCATTTCTTCTTGTAGCTTCCCCACAGAGGGATCAAGATTTTTGAATAATAAACGCATCCAAAGCATCAAATTTCACACATCCAAATATTTTTGTTAACACAAGATCTGTTGTGAAGATGATATATATCTGCCAACCCTCACCTGGTACCTCAAAAATTTGCACATATCTCATATAAAGTATAGGAAATAGTCGAAATAGTCCAAATCTGGCAGGTTGTAATATTTATATCAGTCTTAGTTCAGATACGAATTGATCAATATTGACCAACTGCTTCGGAAACTCCCCCATAAAGGGTAAACAGCTTGAATAATCATAATTCAAGGCTGGGGGTATACATCTATCGGCAAACCCGAACAATACATTTATCCTTGTTTAAAATTTATTTTAATACTATAAATTAAAAAAAACCTCTTTGCAAGCCATTCTAACAAAAAGGAATAGAACTTGATTATTTTTTTTTTTTTTGTTTGGAAAAAAAAGTTAAAAAAAATCCAACTTAATAAACTCCTCTGTCTGTAGTGGTCATGAAAAATGACTGGTGGGTGGTAGCTGTGCTGTAAAGAATTTACAACAATGTTGCCATTACAGCCAACAGAATAAAAATGATGACAATAAAAAAAGAAGAATTTCAAATTGGTAGTGAAGAATATAACAATGCTCCTGGACAAGTCTTGTATCCTTGATGATGATGATGCTGATGAAGGGAGGGGGAAAAAGCGAACCCTCTTCTTTTGCAAGTAGTTGGACAAAGTGTAAAAGCTTCTTATTGCAATCATGGCCATAAACTACAAGCATGACAAGCAAGTAATATTATCACCAATGAAACAAGGGGAAAAATGAAAGAAATCGAAGTAAAGAAAATAAAATAAAGCAACAGGCAGGCAGGCCAGAAGGGAAATGCAAAAACTAGAGAAGAAATGACTTTCTTGTAAGAAGTTGCAGAAACTGCAGAATTTCTTTTCTCTGATATATTTTGAACAAGAATAAAAGCAAAACATTTATTATATTTAAAAATGAGGGGAATATATCCTTAAAGAAAATGAGAACAAAAAACGCATAGGATAACATCGTTTTTCAAAAGACAATGACGACGATGATACCAAAAATAAATTACTTGCAATGATAAATAATGACAAATTGTTGGAGGAAGGAGAAATAAAAAATACAATGGGAAAAATTAGTTTAAAAAAGGGGGAGATGGCGTTAAATAACCACCATTTATCAATGGTCTAAAGGGAATGTGATAAATTTTAAAGGACACTTTCAAAAAAAAAAAAAAAAACTCCGTATACTTACGAGGCAATGTACATAGCTGCCGTTCCCACCAACTGCAATTTGTTGCGCACCACCGACATGTGACTCAGGAATCGATCAATATAGGATACAGACAGGTACAGAGTTTCTGTATCCAAATTATATTCCTCAGACACCTCAACCAGCCAATCAACCAAAATGGTACGCATCGAATAGTTGATGTCCGTTTGCCGGCGCATATAGTGTGGCTTGGGGCGGTGTTTTTTCTGTAAAGAAAAAAGAGGAGAAAGAAGGAAATGTTAAAAATAATGAAATAAAAAAGTACTACTTCATAAAAATAAAAAAAAAGGAATAAGATCATTTTGATATAAAAATTCAATGTCTGAATTTCCAGCTTTGCACATAAAACAGGAGTCGAGCAGCATCAGATTTATCTGCTTTTAACCTAGAAGTTCCAGGCTAGAACGGAAAGTTGGGAATTTTGCACGGGAGGTAAAACATCGTGTGTCAGTTGTGCTTTTTTTGCATAGGGGAGACTTAAGAGGGATTACATCTTCTGAATGAAGGTGAATATCTTTTGAGGCTTCGAGAAGATTGTATATTTTTTAAGGGCCTTTGGAAGACCTTTTATCAAGCATGTATAGTCATATAGAAGATAATTATCTATGAAAGACATTCTGCTCACAAATGTTCTTCAAAAGACATTTTATTTTCAGAAGACTTCCAGCAGATATTTTATCCCAAGGAGCCTTGCAGTTAGTTCTCTATCAAGAAGAAATCTAGGTATTTTATTTCCAGAAGATTTCTAAAAAAATCAAAAAGGTAATCCACCCTTGGAAGACATCTACAAGGTGTTCTACTTGACAGGGGTCTTTATCAAGCAAAACACCTTGTAGATGTCTTCTAAGCATAGATTACCTTCTGGTAGTTTTCTAGGAATCGATTGTCTTCTGTGTGTCTATAGTATAGACTTTGTTTCTATGAGAATGGCAGATGGTTTTCTTCCTATTTCCTGAAGGTATTTATTTATATTTTTTTATTTATTTATAAGAGGTAATAATAACCCTATAAGACCTCAAGAATGAAATCGATTCTTAGAAGATTTCTTCCTAACGGCTTCCAGAGGGTATTCTATCTGCCATTGCCCTTATCTTGCAGTGACCCGTGATGATACCCACCAAAAGTCTTAAATCAGGTTTCGACAAGGACTGTGGCGACTTTGTTCTCTTCTCCGAGAGTATGGGCCAGATTATTTTGGAGATGCTGCATCCCTTTTCTACATTAAGGTGATATTCTGTGTGAAGAATAACTGTAGACTTTCATAGACCCCTAGAAGACCCTATCTAAGCCACGTCCCAGATTTTGAAGACACAACTACTCTATGCCTGGAAGCAGCTTTTCATGTGTGATAGACATCTGAACCATCTTGTATTTGTATTTCAATTATAACAAATGTATAGCATACTTTTAGGCGGCATAAAATATATTGATAGCTGTTTTATATTTGGAAGGAATTAATTATGTCTGCTATGTGAAGAAGAACTGTAGACTTCTCTAGACCCCTAAACCACTTCTTAGCTGTTTTTCATCATTAGAAGGTCTACAAATAATCTATGCATGGCAGACGCTTAGAAAGTCTATCGAATGAAAAATGCAGCTGGAAAGTCTTTTATTTATGGCGATCACAAAAAAGATAATAAATATGTAGCATAACTTTAGGCGGAATTAAACAAAGAAAAAGTATAAATTGGGATTTTTTTCGGAAGACTTATTAATAAACCTCTACATATAGAGGATCTATTAATATGATATTAAGGAAGAACAACTATAGGCTGCTTTCTTGGACCTCTAAATGACTTCTAAGTGTATAAGAAGTCTTCTTTGTGTAAAGGGCCTGAATATACCAGATTAATGGAAGGGGTCAAAAAACCTTTCTTTCCTAAAAAGGCCTCTGTGGACTGTCTTCTATTTATTGAGAAAATGTAAAGGAGACTAAATGTGTAGCATATTTTAGGCGGTATTAATAAAATACAAATATATCGAGAGTTAGAATGACTTTAATCTACTGACGACTTAACATTCTCTATGTGTTGAATGCCAGTAAAAGTCAACAGGTATATTTTATCTTAAGAAGATCTATAGACTGTCTGGTGAATTTATATAAAATTACCTCCAGAGTAAATCTTCCTTTAAAAAAGTGATGAATTTAAATGAATAGAATAACTCTCAAGGTTCTTGTGTATGTAGAATACCTGAGGAAGATTTCCTAGGTGTAAAAGCCCGCTCGAATGCCTTTTATCTTTAGAAGATGAAAAAGTCTACCGTTTAAAGGATTTATAAAAAACGACTTATACCCCTAGAACCCCCATTAAAAGTTCTCAATATATATGAGGCCTGCAGAATAGCTCCTAAAAATTAAAAAAAAAATAAATTTATAATCACTTCCAATTAGAAAAACTTTCCAAAATTCCCATCAAAATATGACCCAAAATTAGACATTTATGATCAAATTATGCCGAGTTTTGATGTTAAAATCAAAACGATAACCTCCAACCCCCGTCATCAGTATAACAAACAGCTGGCTGTCGAGTCATTGAAAAAATCAGATCAGATTGATTTAAAAAAAACAGGCAACAAAGAGATAATCATCCGACAAGACATTAAAAGGTAATAAAATTTTGGAAATAACACAGATATGCATAAATAAGTATGAGGTACATATGTATGCCGTTAGGTAGTCGGCAGCAGCATCATTGTGAAGCGTTATTATAAAAAGTAAACGATTTTTAAATGAGCTTGGAATGAGACAATTAGGGTTTTGGCTGAGAAATATGAATACAAAGACAATATGAAATGTTGGCTCAATGTCCGTGTGTGTGTTTCAAGACAAGACCCCTTTTCCCCCCAAAAAAAAAAAAAACATCAAATGAGTGTTACCGATATGTGGCAGGGAAAAAATCTAGGGGGACAAAGAGACAAGACAACTTCTATTTGTTTAGCCAGACAAATCTCAAATCAAACAATTTTTTTTTGTTTCGTTTTGGATATGGACAAGCTATTTTGTTTACATACAACCAGTGAAGGAGTGAATGACGACTGACTATGACGCTCGCTGGAAAGGGTGATATGTTTATAAAGTACCCGACGGAAACTACAACAACAATAGCTAAGCAAACTGCAAATGATGTGAGAGATGAGATTCAGTCATGGATAAGATGCTATATATTTTTTGGGGGGTTTCTTTTTCGTAAATGGCCACAACAAAACAATGAAATACATGAAAGAAGAAAAAAAAAATAACATAACGTCAGTCAGACTTAAGTTTGGAGAAGAGAGAAGCAAAGAGAAACGGGTTTCAGTTTTAATGAGAATAGATTTAAATTAAAGCGCCCATATTTCATATGAAAGGAATGAAAAAAAAAAAAAAATAAATATGAATGCTTGGTTGAGAGACGACGAAGGCTGCAGCAGATGGATACGGGGTAATGGTCAGACATAGTCAGTCACTCAAGCAGTCATCACACACTGGATAAATAAATATACATATTATTAGAGGGTGGTGTTATTGTTAATAAACATTTCAAACATATCATTTAAATGCTAAGCCGGAACGTTTGAGTAGAGGTAAAGGAAGGGGGGATGGGTAAGCGCTATCGATTTCAAGGCAAAAAAAGTCTTTCATTGGAAACAAAAAAAAAAAAAAAAAAAAAAAAATAAATAAAAAAGAGTAGCCTTAAGAGGGAAATGGGGAAGGGGTTTAAAGCGCCTGATGGTTCGCTTTTTGATTGGCCAGCAGATAACGTTTGAAGTGTGTGTTTAATCTTTTTTGTTTCTACTTTCCTATTTTATGTTAATTTGTAAGCCAAAAGCAGGGTGGGGGGATGAGCCACACATACCACCTACCACCGCCATTCTTAGTTGGAAGCATGTCTAAAACTATTTTAACACTTTTTTTCAATTGAAAATCGTGTTTAGATTGCCTAAAATCAATGATGTGAAATTACTTCATTATTCCACGACAATTGAAAAAAATTATTGGAATTTTATGCTTAAAAAAGACAGAAAAGAGGTGTCGAATAATTTGTGTCATTTGAATAAGACAATTTTAAGGAAAATTAAAACCTAAGCCCTGAAACATAAAGGAAGAAATTCTGCAACTTTAAAATATCAGAACTCAAGCCCTACCATCGATCAGTAGCCGTATCTCTGATTTTGCCAGGTTTAAAGCTGAGGTCGTTCTGAATTTTTGATCGATACTCATTTGAGAATCTCATAACACAGAATCCTTTATCAGCAGATATTTTGCTAAAGAATTCCTTCTTCTCATATTTAAATATTTCATTTATATTTTTTTAGTTTATAATATTTAGTTTTTTTTTTGGTTTTTTAAAATTTTATATTTTTTATATATTATTTCTTATTTTCTTTATTTATTTCCATAACATCTTTTTTTATTTTTTTTTATTTTTGTTTTATTTTTATTTTATTTTTTTGTTTTTTTTTTTATTTGTGATTTTATTTTTACTTAAGTTTATTTTTTATTTCTCCAATACTTTATATATCTTTTATTTTATTATTATATTTTAATTTTTTTATATTTAACGTTTCAATTTTTAATTTTTATTAGTTTTATTTATTTTTAAAATTTTTTTAATGATTTATTTTTATTTAAAAAAAGTAAAAAATGATATATATTTAAAAAAAAACTTAATAAGTTTAGTTTGTGTTTTAGTTTAAAAAATTAAAAATATAAAAAAAATAAACTCAAATTTTTATTGACTCTTTACTTCTGTTAAATTCACTTATTTCTTACTTATTTGTTTTTTTATTTTTTTTTTTTAAATTTATTTGTTCTATTTTTTTGTTATTTTGGTTATTTTTTTTAATTAGTAGGACTTTTTTATTATTTTTTTTTTTAATTCTTCATGTTTTGTTTATTTTTTTTTATTTTTAAATTGATTTTTTATTTGAGTTTTAGTTTCATATTTATGTTTTAAGTTTACAATTTTTATTAAATTTAACATTTATTTATTATCTATCTTTATTTTTAATTAATTGATTTTTTAATTAATTTATTTTAATTTTCATTTCTTTTGTCTTATATTTAATTTGGTGGTTATTCGATTTTTTTTTTATTATTTTTCTTATTGTTAATTTTTTACTTATTTTTTATTATTTATTTATAATTTTTTTAATTGTTTATTTCTATAATAAACGTTTAAATTGTGCAACTGGATGGGTGGGCCCTATTCATTACAAAAATTAG